CCTCCTCCTCCTCCTCCTCCTCCTCTTCCCCCTCCTCGACCTCCTCCGGTTGGGCACGCATCCGATGAAGACGAGAAAACTCGGCCCCGCCGACGAGAGGTGGACTTCAAGGTCGGGCCGGGGCTTCGGAGCGGTCGCGATCACTAGCCGCCAGAATCTCGATCGGCTGCCTGCTTGGAGTTTGGTCGGGCATGTCCCGCTACAGGAGGATTTTGGGCGAAAGATCAAAATAGTCAAACAATGACCAAACATAGCCAAACAAAAACTAAAAAAAATCGTCCCCCGACTATTCTTGGACTATGCTTGAATATTCCTTCGGTGGAGGGTCAGGCCCGACTTAAGCTTAGAAGACATTCTCGCAGCGGCCAGGCGACTGAACGCTCAAGGCCGACGAGACTCGGCCGCAGCATCGCGTGCCGGCTCCCCTGCAGCGACGACGACGACGAAGAGCGCGACGACGACGACCTCCAACGTCGACGACGACCTCCAGCGTCGACGGCGACGACGACGACGACCTCCAGCGTCGACGACGACGATGACGACGTCGACGACCTCCAGCGTCGACGACGACCTCCAGCGTGGACGACCTCCAACGACAGCGACGACGACGACGACGACGACGACGCGGCCGCGCCGTGGCCCCGCGGCGGCGGCGTCGGCAACCGCGCTGGCGCCGCCCGGGGCGTCGAGGGCCGGCAGGGCTACGCCGCCGGGGTTCGGCCGCCTGGCGGACGGAGGCTGCCGCCGCCGCCGTCGTCGTCGTCGTCGTCGTCGTCGTCGTCGTCGTCGTCGTCGTCGTCGTCGTCGTCGTCGTCTTTCCCAGTGTCGTCGTCGTCGTCGTCATCGTCGTCGTCATCGTCGTCGTCGTCGTCCTCGTCGTCGTGATCGCCGTCGTCCTCGTCGTCGTCCTCGTCGTCGTGGCCGTCGTCGTCCCCAGCGTCGTCGCCGTCGTCCCCGTCGCCGTCGTCCTCAGCGTCGTCGTCATCGTCGTCGTCGTCGTCGTCGTCGTCGTCGTCTTCGTCGCCGTTGGAGAATGAGTGGAGGCAGGGACAGGGGGGGGGGGAGACGCAGGCCCGGTGGTCTCCGTAGCTGGGAACCTCACCAGGGAGCCACGGGGTTGCATGGGCGGGCTGTGGGGGGGTAAAGGGGGGGGGGGAGAAGGAGAAGAAGGAATGGAAGGAGGGAAAGGAGTGTGGGAGGGGGTGGATGAGGCGGGGTGGGGGAGGAATGGGGTGATCAGGAAGGCGAAGGGGGGACGAGCAGAAGAATCATGAGGATCTTAAGGAAGACGGAAGGGGAGGGAGGAGGAGCTGGAGGGGAAGAGCTAGGGCGAGGTAGGACAGAACGCTATAGATCAGCGCCATCCACCGCTGTATCTGTTTGCAATGTTTTCAACTCTACCCCCTCCGCTCCGATCTTTCAGCTCCTTCTCCTCGCCTCCTCCTCCTCCTCCTCCTCCTCCTCCACCTCTTCCTTCGCTCATTCCTGTTCCCATTCCCGACTCCTGCTCTACTTGCCCCTCCCTTGCAGCGGGAACCACGAATCAGGCACACCACATAGCTGATCTGCCTGCCAGATATTGGTGTGTACGCGCGCAGATGTGCTTGATGTGTGTGTGTGTACATATGGGGCCGTGCCAAAGTTCATGGAGATCCACCGGTGCGGGCAACGCAGATTCGGGTAGATGCAATCGTCGCGATTGGGCGCCAATGCCCTGGCAGCGGTTGTCGGTGCAGCGCCCTCCTGCATTCCAGCACACCGTGCAGCGGATCCTCTTGCTCTTTCTCTTTCTGTCCTTCTTTCTTTCTTACTTTCTTTCTTTTGTTTCTTTCTCTCTCTCTCTCTCTCCATATCTACCCTTTTCGTTCGTTTTTTTTGTTTGTTTCTCTCTCTCTCTCTCTTTCTATCCTTCCCACTCTCTGGTGCAACAGCGGCAGCAATGACAGCAACGGTGGCAGCAACACTCAGATCTCTGGCGGTACTTGCAACCAGCTGCGCGCTGATGTATTGCAATGTTACTGACTGCTGCTGCGTGATTACGTGTGCCACTGTCTGTCGCCGATGCGTGATGGTTCCTCCAGGCGTCTGATGCCGTTTGCCGCTGCGCACTGATGTCGCTGTTGCCTGCCACACGCTGCTCCATCGCGCACCAAGCGGGGGGCTTCCAAGAGGTGAGGGGGCCCTTTGGGAGACCACAGGACCCTCTGGGGGGCAAGACCGCCCATCTGGGGGTGCGGGGGCCCCCGGGGGCGTCGCTGCGCTCCCCCAGGTGGAGTTGAGGGGGCCCCCGTGGGGGGTCGCGGGGGGCCCCGTGGGGGGCTGATGGGGCCCTTCCCAGGGGAGGTTGATGGGAGCCCCTGGGTGGCGCCCCCTTGGGAGGTTTGCGAGGGCCCTCCGAGGGATTTGAGGCCTCCCGAGGGGCCGAATGGGGATGAAGGGGGCGGGGAGAGCCCCTCCCCAGAGGGGGGTGCGGGGGGGGCCTGTTTTCCCGATATCCGAAGGATGGGGATCTTGCTATTACTCTGACCGCGCCGAGGACCGACCCACTCACCTCCTCTCTTTCTCCTATCCTCACTCAGGACTCGCACGCTGATCAATGATGATGCTGATGATGCTGATGATGCTGATGATGCTGCTGCTGCTGATGGGTGATGGTGATGGTTATGCTGCTGCTGCTGATGGTGATGCTGCTGATGATAGTGATGATGCTAATGCTGACTCTGATGATGACGATGATACTGACGATGATGACGATGCTGACGCTGCTGGTGATGGTGGTTGTGTTAATGATGATTGCGATGTTGATGATGCTGGTTATGATGATGCCGATGCTGATGATGCTGCTTGAGATGATGATGAACATGATGACGATGATGCTGATGATACTGCTGTCACTGCTGATCCTGCTGATGCTGACAAAGATGAAGGTGCTGATGATACTGATGGCGGTGGTGATGATGAAGAACTCGTTGCTAATGTTATTGATCCTGATGATGATGACGGTGATGATGATGATGGTATCGATGCTGATCATATTGATGATGATGGTAATGACGATGGAGGTGCTGATGATGCTGATGATGCCCATGATGAATTCCATGATGCTGCTGCTGATGATGATGTTGATTATGATGATGATGATGCTGATGTGTACGATGATGATGATGATCACGATGATGATGATGATGATGATGATGATGATGATGATGATGATGATGATCATGATGATGATGCTGATGATGATGATGATGATGATGATGATGATGATGATACTGATGCTGCTGATGATGCTGCTGATGCTGCTGATGCAGACGCTACTGCTGATGATGATCATAAAGATAATGCAGATATGATGCTGATGTTGTTGTTGATGATGGTGATGGTGGTGATGATGGTGATGATGATGATGATGATGCTGATGATGATGATGATGATGATGCTGATGATGATGATGATAATGATGCTGCTGATGATGCTGCTGATGCTGCTGATGCAGACGCTACTGCTGATGATGATCATAAAGATGATGCAGATATGATGCTGATGTTGTTGATGATGGTGATGATGGTGATGATGATGATGATGCTGATGATGCTGATGATGATGATGATCATGATGACGATGATGATGATGATGATGATGATGATGATGATGATGATGATGATGATGATGATGATGATGATGATGATGATGATGATGATGATGGTGGGGCAGATTATGAGGATGTCTCGGGCGAGGCGCTGGTTTCAGCACGCCCGAGAAGGGGGTGCCAGGGGGGTACGACACCTGCCCGTTCGCGCCCAGTTTGCGGGGATGTCTTGGGCGGTTTGCCAATTTGCGTGCTCGACATCCTCCACTTTCGGAGCAGATTATGAGGATGTCCTGGGCGAGTCGCTGGTTGTCGCACCCCAGGCGGCCAAGATTACGAGGATGTCTCGAACGGTTTGAATGTTTTGGTGGCCTCACTCTTCCGTTCGAACCCAGATTGCGTGGATGTCTCGAGCGGTTTCCCTGCGCACCCGATGTACCACGTAGCGTATGATGGGTGTGCCGAAATGAGCCTGGGAGCACATGTGAACCCTGCCGCTGGGGGATGGGCCTGGGAACGCATGCGGACTTTGCCATTGCGGCTCTCGGTGGAGCTCTATGTGGGGCCACGAAACGTGTACAAGGGGCGCAGGGCTGGGCCGGAGGACGCATGTGAATCCTGCCACTGGGGCCCTCGGTGGCCCCCCCACCGAGGCCCCGGTGGCAAGGTTCACATGCGTCCTCAAGTCCAGTTGTGCGCACCGTTCACACGCTTCGTGGCCCCATAGGGAGGTTCACCGAAACTCGCGATGGCAAAGATGACGCGCGTTATTAGGCTCAGGCCGGCACACCCCTGACATTCTTCGTGGCCACATCAGGAGCTCCACCGAACGCACCAGCGGCAGAGTTCACGTGCGCCCCCCAGGCCCATGTCGGCACACCATAGCGCTTCGTGGCCTAGTAGGGAGCGCCACCGAAGGCCCCAGCGGCAGTGTTCACATGCGTGTTCATGCTCATTCGCCACATACGCACACACACACACATCCCACGCTTCGTAACCCCATATGGAGCCCCACCGAAGGCCCATGTACCGGGGTTCGCGGCCCCCCGGCTATTTTGGAACACCACTCACACGCTTCGTGGCGCCGCAGCGAGCTCCACCGAAGGCCCCTGGCATGCGCCTCCCCCCGCCCTTCGGTGCCTCTTCCCGCCGCCCGCCACCCCCTGCCCGCACTGCCCAGTGCCTCGTCCATCTGGCGGCGCGCTGCTTATGAGGGCAAAGGCTATGCCCGACGCTTTTTCACAATTTGTTCGCCAACCACCATCGGCCCAATTCCCTGGGGGCACTCACATCTGCACATGGTTGGGTCTTCCGCTGGGCGAGCTCCCCCAGATCACAGGTATTGCGTACTCGTTATGAATGTGACGTTTCCTTCTCCGCTTTCCTTCTTCTCCCCCTCCCCCAATGTCAGTTTGTGGTTAACAAATCCGTGGTGGGGTTTGGGGGGGGCGTGTTTTTTTGTGTGTTTCCATATACATATATGTTTATATCTACATAGATGTACATCTACATATCACAAAGGTATATACCTATATCTGTACAGCAAGCCAAAAACTTCCCTGTTCGGGCGAATCGCGGGGGGGGGGGGGCGCATGTCAAATTGAAACGCATGGCGGCGGCGGTGGTGATCAGCGCCGACACCAGGCCGACAGCAAGAGGGCGACAGGCGCGACGCAAGCGGCGCCGCTTCAGCGGAGGGGGACAGCAGCGCCTCCGATGTGGCGGGGGACAAAAGGCACCTCGGCTGGCGGGCGGCGCTGGCAGGGTTACAAACAAAAAAGGGAGAGAGGGGGAGGAGCGGAAGAGGCAGGCGGAAAGGGCTCCTCCTTCTCCTTCTCCCTCCCTCCCCGTCCTCCACAACAACGTCCTTCGACGACGACGATGACGACGACGAAACCGAAGACGACGACGACGACGACGACGACGACGACGACGACGACGGCGACGGCGACGGCGACGGCGACGGCGACGGCGACGAAGACGGCGACGGCGGACGACGACGTACTGCGGATGCTTCATGGGAGGGATGGGGTGATCAAGAAGGCGAAGGGGGGGACGAGCAGAAGAATCATGAGGATCTTAAGGAAGACGGAAGGGGAGGGAGGATGAGGAGCTGGAGGGGAAGAGCTAGGAAG